GTAAAAAAAATTATAGATTCATGTATAACAACCAAACCAAGTTAGAATCACTAACCCCAGTCAACTCCTTGAAAATCCCTTAAAGAATCGCCCAAATCCGTGGTCTCTAGCGTAAAATATGAAAAATGGGTTCAAACCCTCGATTTGAAATTTTAAAGACTGCTGTACAGAGGTTCCTCTTCGCTATCGCGGAAAGTCCCTCGCAATCGCGAAGAACAAAAATGCTGCCCTCAAAAAATGACCTACGCGGACGCACTCCATAGGTCGCGAACGCAGTGAGTAAAAGCCCCAAAGCTACGCGATCGCGGACAAACACATGCGATCTCATAGAGCAACGCGTCTGACATTCCAGGCCTCCTCTTCCTTCATTGCGAACGTGGCACCACTCACGCGTTCGCGAAGCTGTAATTCCCCAAGCTTCACGATCATAGTCCAATCCTCGCGAACGCTTAGAACAACTTCACACCTGCCAGACTTAAACCTTCGCGATCGCGATCCTCTTCACGCGATCGCATAAGAGGAAACCAGATACCTGAAACATCAGCAATAACACAAGTCCAAAACTGAAGCCGAACTTGATTCGAATCACACCCGAGGCCCCTGGGACCCCATCCAAACACACCAACAAGTCCTAAAACATGATACAAACTAAATCGAGACATCAAATCACATCAAACAACATCAAAAAACACGAATCGCACCCCAATTAAATCCTAATGAAACTAATGAATTTCCAACTTCTACAATCGATGCCGAAACCTATCAAACCAACTCTGATTGACCTCAAAATTTGCACACAAATCATAAATGAAACAACGTACCTATTCCAACTTTCAGAACGAGAACACGAGCTCAGTAACCACAAAGTTAACTCTCGGTCAAACTTTTCAACTCTCCAAACTTCAACTTTTTCCAACTTTCACCAATTCAAGCCAAAAATACCTAAGGACCTCCAAATCAATATCCGGACACACTCGTAAGTCCAGAATCACCATAAAGAGCTATCAGAACCACCAAAACTCCATTCCGGAGTCATTTACACACAAGTCAATATCCAGTCAACTCTTTCAACTTAGGCTTACAACCTTAGGACTAAGTGTCCCAATCCATTCCGAAACATCCCCGGAATCAAACCAACTACCCCAGCAAGTCACATAACAAAAAATGAGTATAGAATAAGCAATAAATGAGGAAACGGGGCTACAATACTCAAAACGACCGGCAAGGTCGTTATAGGGTGTTTTCTTATTGTACCTTAGTCGTGATTTTCCTTTTTGTGGTATATAGTGCTATCTGTTTCTCCGTGGTTGTGGTCATGCACTTCTAGTGTTTTCTGTTGATACACATGTGTTTGTCGATTGTGAGCATTATGGCTCGATATGTATTCCATGTGGATTAGTATGTTTTGATCGGGTTATGCGCCACATCGGAGTTATGTTAGGATATGGTCATTTGTGATTATTTTGTGTGTCTTGATTTTCCCTTGTGGTTTGGGATAATAGCATTGTGCGTTGGTGGTTTTATCTACCAAACTTGTTGGATATTTCTCTTATTTGGTTCTCTTTCCATCCTATGTTATATTCGAGTTGTTGTTGGGTGCACCGATTGTGTCGTATGTGGCTAGGTGGCATTTGGTGTGGCCTATCAATCGAGTATCTCGTACTGGGTGAGATGAAGTTACTGGACTTGAAATTAGTGCAATCGGATTTGGATAAGGTATGTTTGGATAAGAATGTCATTAGTCAGCTCTGAATTTGGCAATGATCCTTGTCATGCGAGAGAGCCCCATGACTTGTTGATCTGGTGGGTATTGCTCCCACATGCACATGAAAGTATACGTGGTCAACAAGCAATATAATGATGAGTAAAGTGTCGAACCCGCAGAGACTTGTATTTAAGTACCTACTAATTTCACTCAAATTGTTATTCAGTTAAGTCAATCAAGGTTGAGTTGTGCGATTTATAGCTAAGTATTAAATGTAACAATTAACTAATTTAGCAAGCAGAAAGTAGTTGTGTTGAGTAATCAATAGAGATAAACATTCCAGGATTGCGATTGATTCACCAATTCTATTGTGTTCTAGCCCTTTTTTTCCACAGTGCTTCTGGGTGGCTCCTACACATAAAAATACCACAAGTTAGCATAAATCATTACAATACACATACAGATCTACGAAATTCAAGTAAAATGTGAAGCGGCATGCATATAATTACACATATTTTAAGCCAAATATCAACACCCCACACTTAGTCTCTTGCTCACCCTCGTGAAGTGTAACTCCTTACAACACCCCCAACTACTTTACACATTAATTATGGAGAAGCAATTCATCTTCACTCATACACTCACCCTTGACTATGGTTGATGCCGGAAATTAAGTATAAGCATACGAACTCACACTCTTCCCATTCTCAGCATGCCAAAGTATAAGCGTTTCAATTCAAACAACCTACTCATAATCACCTTGCCTCAAAAGCAGACTCGTTACCGCTAAACATCCTCAACTCGCGCACTCACCCAACAAGAGAAGTTAACAATATAACCTATCCGTCATGAGACCTTATGCCCTCACCAATAAACAAGAGAGTGAATATAAAGATAGTCCACACATTCAAGTATGACTTTGAACAAAATTTAAGGACATCAAATAATTGAACATAAGTCACTCACTCTCGCGAAGTTTATGTGCACCCCGTGGTCGTACCATAGGCTTGCTTGTAGTGTATATCTACTTATCTAAGCTAGCCAAGTCTAGAATCAATTAGATCTTTCCAGATTTTAATATAGGCTAAGGGACAGGTAGGATAAATTTGGATATTAGTGACTAACCCTCCTAAGCACTTTAATACACTACACTCAATATTAAAGCACATATTATTCTCAACCAATTCACCTTGCAACAAAACCATACACAACTTAGACCTTTTTGTTTAAGCACTTATAGATCTCCACTAGCACAGATTAAGAAGATTAGGAGGTGTGGTTTTCCCTTTTTGGCATATCAACATTTTTCTCAATTCTCCCTTTGTATTTTGCTTCTTTTTTTTCTTTAATATACACACTCCTTACATTAAAATTTTCGACTAGTGGTCTTTCATAACTTAGTGTACCTTTTGGGTGCTTCCATGGTTCCACTCAAAAGCTACTTCCCATGATCTCACCTTACTTCTTTTAGCGACTAAGTGCCTTCGGAGGTAAAGGTTCAACAAGCTTAAGTTAAGAGCAAAAAATGGTGATACGACTTGTAATATGGGTGCCAAGAAAAGGTCTAGATGCTCAAATGGTCTAACAACGGAAAATTTTATTTGTTAAGTGACAAGTACATCCATGATCAAGCAAAAAAATGCCTACGTCATCACCTAGACTAGCACACTTAATGATTTCGCGTTGATTAACACACGGGACAAGTTCTAGACTACACAGGATAGCACAGAATATCACGGATCCTCACACGTACATACATTGCACATGACTCAATCAAGACGATTCTGTTCAACTTGACTCTCAAGTCAAGCAAGTATACATAATTGAGAAATTTAAGAAACAATGCACTAGATGTCATACGAGCCAAGCAACTGAGATGAGGCATCATAAAGCAGGCTATTCTTCGTTTTTGTTTTCACTAAAGCATCAAATTTCAAACCAAATACACATGAAGATAGATGCCATAGCCTAAATGTGCCAGCATCAAACATGTGAAAAGGTGTCTAGAGCAACTCAGTTGTCCCTCCTATCTTAATCCTAAAAAGATTAAAATACCCTGTTCAAATTACACCCCTTGAAAAAGAACTAGTGCCCAAAGAAAAACAAAGGGAATTACTACTTAACTACCACTAAGAAAAACAAAAGAATTTTTTTAGGTGTTTCGTTTTTAATCGGGCCTTAGTCCCTCAAGAAAGCTGGCCAAGAGATCCATCGCCGGAAAGGTCCAAATTTTTCTTAATTTTTTCTCTTTTTTTTCATTTTTTTCTATATTTGTCTACTAAATCTAACACTAGACTACTACTAAACTATGAGTTATGACTACTTAAAAACAACAACGTATATGCAATGACAATATACAAAAAGTTATTCCCCCACCCTACACTCATTGCATGCATAGTCCTCGATGCATATAAAATATCAAAACAAAGTAGGGTGGAAAGAAAAACTCTGTGATAATCCGACCCCTCTGGGTCATACTCACATCTCTCATTATTAGGCTACACACCAGCCAAAGCTCCATCCTTTTCTTCATCAGCATCAAGCGACACCAATGCCATCGACTCAGTAACCCCATCATCAGTAGCAGCCCCGTCATCTGACCCAACAACCGTGTTCTCATCTTTAGATGGGTGAATGGGACTGCCAGGCGCGATGCCCAACATCTCCTTTGTAGCACCAGACAAAGGGTACTCAATGTTCACCTCATATTCTGCTTGGGAGAGAGTGATAAAAATTGGGTTGCCTCCCAACAAGCGCCTGATTTAATGTCACGGCACGACGCATGGCCTCGCATGCTCATTGGCGAGTAGCACTTTTGTCTTCTGATGATCAATTAAACCTCCCCAATAGTTCTTGACCCTATGCCAATTCACCAAAAATTGCCTTTCTCCATTTAAAGAGTGCAACTCGATTACACCATATGGGGTGACTTTCACCGCCACAAACCGACCTGACCTCCTTGACTTTAACTTCCCAGGGAACAGCGTGAGCCCTGGAATTGAATAATAATAATACCTTTTGTCCTGGTTCAAAGTGACGGGTTTTGATACGCATGTCATGCCATCTCTTGGTTTCTCCTTGTAAAGCTTGGCATTTTTATAAGCATACAACCTAAACTCGTTTAACTCATTCAACTATAAGAGCATCCTCTCGCCGCAGCTACCAAGTCCATATTCAACTTCATGACTGCCCAATACGCCTTATGGTCAAGTTCAACTAGCAAGTGACATGCTTTCCCATACACAAGCTTGTACGGAGATGCTCCAATTGGCGTTTTGTATGAAGTTCTATATGCCTATAAGGCATCATCTAACTTTGCTGCCACATCCTTCATGTTCACACTCACTATTTTCTCTATTATTTGCTTTATTTCTCTGTTTGACACTTCAGCTTGTCCACTTGTTTGTGGATGGTATGCAGTGGACACTTTATGGTGGACCCCATATTTGGCTAGAAGGTTATTTAGCAACAGATAGCAAAAATATGTTCCTTCATCACTAATCAAAGCACGTGGAGTCCCAAACCTTGAAAATATGTTCTTTTTCACAAAAGTAGCTACCGCCTTGGAGTCATTGGTTAGCAATGCAACCGCCTCCACCCATTTGGAAACGTAGTCCACCGCGAGCAATATGTACTTGTTCCCTCTTGACAATGGGAATGGACGCATGAAATCTATGCCCCACACATCAAAGATCTCCACCTCCAGGATATTATTCAAAGGCATCTCATGCCTCTCATGATTGTTCTTGTTATCTGGCTCTGGTCACACTTCTTAACAAATGCATTGGCGTCTTTCAATAATGTTGGCCGATAGAACCCCTACTGCAACACCTTCCAGCCATCCTATTGCCTCCATGATGGCCCCCATAAGGTGAGGCATGGAAATCATACAACAGTTGTTCCACCTCTTTTTTTAGGAATGCACCTCCTCATAAGCTGAGCAACGTAGTGTCTGTACAAGAATGGCTCATCCCAGTAGTAAAAATTCACATCATGCAGGAACCTCTTCCTAGCCGCAAACTGGATTTCAGGAGGGAGAACTCCATTCACTAGGTAGTTCATATAATTCCAGTACCATAAGGCAAGGTCATGTGTGATGGAAAAAGCTGCTCATCAGGGAATGTCTCCTTAATTTGTCCACCTTTCTCCACGTGCTCATGATTTTCCAGCCGAGACAGGTGGTTGACCACTTTGTTTTCTGTGCCCTTTCGATCTCGTATTTCTACATTAAATTACTGCAACAATAAATCCAGAGCATCGATCTAGATTTTGGATTCTTTTTTCGAGAATAGATACCTGATTGCCGCAAGATCGGTATGGACTGTGACTTTCGTTCCCGCCAAATAGGCTTGAAATTTCACGAATGGCCACACAACTTCCAATAACTCCTTCTCAGTGGTGTTGTAATACAATTCTGCATCATCAAGAGTCTTACTCGCATAGTATATATAGTAAAACATCTTGTCCTTTATCTAGCCCAACACTACTCCATTAGCATGGTCACTTGCATCACACATAAGTTCAAACTGCAAAGACAAATCTGGTGCCGCAAAATTGGTGCAACTACCAATTTCTCTTTGAGCTCATCAAACACCTTCAGACAGGCCTCATCAAATTTGAATGTCACATCCTTTTCGAGCAACCTGCACAATGGAGTAGCAATTTTAGAGAAATCTTTAATATAAAAACATGTGTGTCCCAAGAAACTCCGGACACCCTTCACAAAAATGGGTGGTGGAAATTTTGCAACTACCTCCACTTTCTCCTTATCAACTTTAATGCTGCTCCTTGAGACTCTGTGGCCCAAAACGATGCCTTCTTGCACAATGAAGTGGCACTTCTCCCAATTCAGCACCAAATTCGTTTCTTCACATTGTGCCAACACCTTGGCCAAATTTCTCAAACAATCATCATTGGAAGACCCAAAGACTGAAAAGTCATCCATGAAGACTTCTATGAATTTTTGTACCATATCGATGAAAATGGCCATCATGCACCTTTAAAAAGTGGCTGGTGCATTGCAAAGACCAAATGGCATTCACTTAAAAGAAAAAGTACCATAAGGGCATGTGAAAGTCGTTTTCTCTTGATCTGTTAGGGCTATAAAAATATGATACCCCGAATATCCATTAAGGAAGCAGTAGTAATCATTCCAGCCAACCTGTCCAACATCTGGTCAATGAATGGAAGGGGGAAGTGATTCTTCCATGTTGCTTTGTTGAGCCTTATATAATCAATGCATACTCTCCACACCATCACGGTGCAAGTAGGAATTAGCTCATTTTTCTTATTCGCTACAGGCACACATTTCACTAGACTTACCTATTTGCTATCAGAAATAGGGAAGATGATACCTGCATCAAGCCACTTAATTACTTCCTTCTTCATGACATCCTTCATAATGGGATTCAACCTTCTTTGTTGCTCAACACTTGGGTGGTGTCAATCTTCCATAAAAAATTTATGCATGCAAAACAATGGACCGATTCCCTTAATATCAGCAATTGTCCACCCAATAGCTCTGTCTTGCTCACGAAGCACTCTTAGCAGCTTTTATTCTTGCAAAGTAGTCAAGCTAGATGAGATAATCACCGGAAATGTTTTAGCACTTCCCAAGTAGGCATAGCAGATGTGCGCTAGTAGAGGCTTGAGTTCAAGTTTTGGAGCTTCTTCAATAGACGGCTTCCTTAAGAGGAGCCAATGTCACTGGTCGATCTAACTCCTCAAATATTCCAAGACCATGAACATACTTGTATGACATGTTAAGGACTCGCTCAATCTCTTCCACCAACTCGTCTTCACTTTCTTCTTTATCCCCCAATAAAGCTCGTTCAAGGGGGTCTGTCGGGCTCATATAAGGCATCACGGAGGTCACATCATTTTCCACCACAGAAATCATGGATAGCTCTTCATAATGGAGTGCAATTTGAGTGCTTTATAAACATTGAAAACCTCTACTCGATCACCCAAAATTATTGTCATTTTCCCTTCACAAACATCAATAATTGCTCGGCCTGTGGCTAGAAATGGACGCCCCAAAATAAATAGGACTTCCTGACCCGGCTCATAGTCCAAGATAATGAAATTAGCAGGAAATATGAAAGAACCCACTTGGACTAATACATTTCCAATCACCCCTTCTGGACTAGTAAAGGATCAATCAACCAATTATGATATCACTGTAGTAGTTCGCGTCTCATCCAATCCCAATTGCTTGAACACAGATAGAGGCATCAAATTGATGCTCGCTCCAAGTTCACACAAGGCTCTCCTGACCGTGTGCTTACCAATCGAGATTTGAATAGTGAAACTCCCTAGATCCTTCAATTTCTGAGGTAGCTTGCTTTGAATTTGTGAACTACATTCTTCCGTGAGGGCCACAGTCTCGAACTCGGCTAACCTTATTTTATTTTCCACGATGTATTTGATTTTTTTTGCATATTTGGGCACTTCCTGGAAGATGTCTACCAACGGGATATTGATTTGTACTTGCTTCAAAATGTCCAGGAATTTTTTATAGGCATCATTGTCCTTCACTTTCTGTAATCTTTGCGAGAAAGGGGGTAGTTGCTTAGCCACTGTAGGTGATAGTGGTTTTGCCACCCCCTCCTTAGATGGGATTTCTGCTACAATCTCTTTTGGTACCTCATCTTCCACATTGAGAGGTTTTTCAGCAAAAGTGACTTGTTTTCTCTTTTTGGAGGGAACTTCCACCAACACTCTTCCATTTTGCAATGTCACAGCATTAACATGAGCTTTAGGATTTGCTTTGGTGTCACTTGGAAGGGCCCCATCTGGCCACATATTTTGGGCACTAGCAAGTTGCCCCATTTGTCGCTCCAAATTTTGAATGACTGCTGAGTGGGCTGCTGCTTGGGCCTGATGATCAGCCATTATCTTCTTTAGCATCCTCTCAATATTGCTCATTGTATATATCAGTTATTCAGCTTATAGTGGTCTATAATGCTATTAAGGAGCTTGGGCCTGTATTGATTCTGAGTACCTTGTTTCCCACCCCATGAAATGTTTGGGTGTTCCTCCAGTTCGAATTTTAGGTGTTCCCATACTGAGTTGCCTGGCCTTTATTTGCATTACCCACAAAGCGTGCTGACTCTGGATTTGCTGGGCATAGATCACTTGTGTGACCCTCTCCACAAACTTCACAAAATGCCTGAACTTTTTACACTGGTTGAACTTGTTGCTTACTAAGAACCATGGCCATCTTATTGAATTGGTTGGACAATGTAGCAACCTGCGCATATATTACATAAACAAAATGTAACTCAAGGACCCCTGCAGTTTGTGCTGCCCATTTCCCCTTGCCAATTAGGATTACTTTTGGAGAATTTGTTTAATAATGTATAAATCTCATTAAAGCTTTTCTCCAATACCTAACCACCGGCTGCAACATCTACCATGATCTTAGTCTCTGGGAGTAGCCCTTCTATGAAGGTATGAGCCAACACTTCATTAGTTTGATTATGATGAGGACAATCTCGAAACAATCCCTTGAAGCTCTCCCAAATAAAATATAAGGACTCACCCTTCATCTATTTAAAAGCGACTATCTCACTTTTGATCTTTGCACTTTTGCCGGAAGGGAAGAACCGTGCCAAGAATTTACGAGCCAAATCATTCCATGATGTAATAGAGTTAGCCAGTTCCACCTTCAACTATTTCTTCGCTTGGCCCAAGAGAGAGAAAGGAAATAGTGTGAGCCTCACATTGTCTGGTGTGACTCCATTCGTGAGATAAATATCACTGATCTCCAAGAAGTTAAGAATGTGTTGCTGCGGATCCTCATACGGTAGACCCATGAATTGCCCGTTTGCATGTAATAGCTAGATCATGCTCTATTTCAGCTCAAAGTGCCCAGTGATTCTAGAATTCATGATGCTAGAGGTAACATTAGCAATGCTAGGCATCACCACCTCCTATACCACCAAAGGTTGCCCGTCTTCCATCTCCGTAGGTAGTTGTTTAAGTGCTCGAAGATTATATGTGTCCCTTGCTTCTCTCAACCTTCTATGAAATGTTATCTCAGGTTCTGGTTCAAAGTCTTGAAGTCTATCTTGGCTCCTAACTCTTAGCATTCAAACAAAGTTCCTGAGAGTAGAGCAACCAATAAGAAACATTAGAATTGACGAAATAAACAACAATATTTAAAGCTAGTAAAGTAGTTAATATATAAGTCCGCGACAACAACACCAAAAACTTTCTCCCAAATGCACACGCAAGTATACATGGTCAACAAGAAATATAATAATGAGTAGAGTTTCAAACCCACAGAGACATGTATTTATCTATCTACTAATTTCACTCAAATTGTTATTCAGTCGAGTCAATCAAGGTTGAGTTGTGTGATTTATAGCTAATCAATAAATGTAACAATTAACTAATTTAGCAAGCAAAGAGTAGTTGTGTTGAGAATTCAATAGAGATAAACATTCCAGTGTTATGATCGATTCACCAATTCTATTGCGTTCTAACTAACGCCCCTTTTTCATCCAATTTGCTTATGGTTGCTAATTAATCGAGCAAAGTATACTCGTAATATTCTCCCGAATTATCACTGGCCTATCCAACATAGATTGACGCCTATTTTCCTATGGAAACAATCTATTAAGAATTCATTAAGATCAACATACTCAATTAAGCATGGTGATTAGGTATATTCTCATCCTAGCCACAAAATCTGCCCCCCACTTTAGAGTTAAGATCATGCCCTCTTCAATTCTTCTCTTTTTGCTTCAAATTGTGCCCTTTTGTTTCACATTGTTACTGGGTGACTCCTATACATAAAAATGCCACAAATTAGCATAAATCATTACAATACACGTACAAATCCATGAAATTCGAGTAAAACATTAGGCGACATGCATATAAATACATATACTTTAAGCTAAATATCAGTGGGTGATTAAGAGTTTCTACATGTTTTTTTTATCATAGCGGTGTTGCAAAGGTTTGGCACAGGTTTATCTGATATGAGGTATGTTACCAGTATCAGATTTGGTTATGAGCAGCTATTACGATATGAAAATATTACTATGAGTACATGAGTTATGTGGTACATCGTGTGGTTCTATCTTGGGAATATAGTTATGGCTTGATGCAGCTTGCTGGGACTTGTACAGTGTATGTATACGAGAATCAGATATTATAAGGAATTTTGGATGTTGGAATTTGGTTCTGAGGTTTATGGGCTAAGGTTGAAAAAAGAATCTTCAGTCGCTGTTGTGCTAATAGACTTATATAGATTATGGTGACGTGGGATCACTCATGGGTAGGTGTATGATGAGTTACAACAGTGATTAGAAATCTTTGGAATGAATCTGGCACGTTCGAAGACGAACGTATGTTTAAGTGGGGGAGAATGTAACGACCCGATCAGTCATTTTGAGCTCTAGCATTTCTTTATGTGATTTGAGACTTCGAGTGGCATCATATAGTGTATTATGACTTACGTCCATGGTTGATTTTGATTCTCGAGTAGTTCAGGATTGATTTGATCGAGTGATTCTCAATTTGGAAGCTTTAAGCTAGAAAAGATTACCAAGGTTTAATTTTTGAGTAAACGACCTCGGAATCGGAATTTAATGATTTTAATAGGTTTGTATGATAATTTTAGACTTGGGCGTATATCCGGATTTGAATTTGGACGTTACTCTATTTATTGAAAGTTGGAAATCTGAAGAATTAGAGACTTCATAGGTTTGATCGGGAGTTGACTTCAGTATTATCAGGTTCCTATTACGTTTTTGAGACCTTGCACAAGTTTATTAATTTGATTTGAGCTTGTGCACAAAGTTTAATAGTGATCTGGTATATTTAAGTGTGATTCATGCGCATTCGCCGAAAGTTTAAAGGATTGAAAGTTAAGAGAAGGATTTTGATCCTCGATTCTTGGTTTTGATGTTATTTGTGGTGTTTTGAGAATTCGGATAAGTTGGAATAAGGTTTTCAAACTTTTTGGTATGGTTGGATAGG